CGGGCCCGCCACGGCCGCCGGGGCGCGCACCAAGACCAAGCGGAAGCACTTCGTGCCGCAGCGCGTGAAGCTGCCGCGCGCCGCCGACCCCTTCCTGGCCGTGCTGTGCTGGGGCATCCACCACCAGGTGAGCTGACCCCTGACCTCTGACCCCGGGCCTCACCCCGCCCCGGAAGCGGCTGCTGGGGCGGGGCCCCCACCTCCAGCTGAGCTGACCTCTGACCTCCCCCGCCCCGGGGCCCGCTGCTGGGCTGGAGCATCCACCCCCAGGTGAGCTGACCTTTGACCCTCCTATCCCGGAAGCTGCTCCTGAGCTGGGGCATCCACCCCCAGCCAGGCTGCCCCTTGACCCCGCCCTGACCTCTGACCCGTGCCAGGATGCCTAGGTCCCCCCCACCCAGGTGAGTCTTGCCCTATCCCAGAGCTGGGCTGGGAATCTAGCAGGGAGTAGGGGTGAGCCATGACCCTTGACTTCTATCCCCCCCACCCCCCTGGGCATGGTGCTGGCCTGGGGTGCCCACTCCCAAGTGGGGGCAGGATGGAGACTCTGGGCCTGCGCCCAACCCTGGCCTGGCTGCCTGCTCTGCCTCCGGCTGCGCTGCCCACCCCTAGTCCAGGCTGTGACGGGCTAGGTACCAGGGGCTTGGGGTCTCCACTGCCCCTTGCCCTGGGCTGGGGAGGGGCAATGGAGGCAGTGTCCCCTCTCCCTGCCCCAGCTCCCACTGCTTCCATCGCTCCAGTGAGTCACGGCCCCAATTCTGCAGGTGTTGCTTCTTTGCCCTGGGCTCTACGGGGCTGGGTGCCCCAAGATGGGCGTCGGGGGGCTCTGGCAGGACCTCGGGGGTGGAGAGGTCTCATGCCCTGGAGCCAGAGCGTAGCAACCCCCCCTCCTGTCTGGTGCCTGGCCAGGGTGGGGGTCACGGGTAGAATCTCCTTGGGACGTGGAGCCCTGTGTCTCCGGGGGGGAGGTGGTGTTTGTCTAGGCATTTCTTGGTCTAACCTTGGAGCAGCTTAATTTGTTCCTGGTGACGAGGAGCCAGGTCTGTGCTCCCCTCCCTGGGCAGCTTGAGGGAGCGAAGCCAACACGGGCACAGCTGAACATCGCTGTGTCCTGGGTGAGCAGGGGGTGTCCACGCCCTCAGGCAGGGTGCCTGGCCCCTGGCAACATGGCAGGGGCATGGGGATGACTGGGGCTGTGCCTGCAGGCTCTGACTCTGCTCTCCGGGAAAGGGGCAGCCAGCCTGGCCTGCCCTGCCGGTGAGGAACCCTCCCCCAGCCCCATGCTCTCGCTCTCGGGCTCCCTTCAGTGCCCCCTTCTGCTTCCAGGAGCCCCGCGGCCCTGCTAAGCGGTGCTGGCCAGCCTGGAGGTGGCCAAGGAGGTGGGTGGCATGTGGCCCTGTGTGGTGCTGTGCCAGCCCTGGGAGCCTGCACCCAGTCTCCCCTTCTCCCCCACACCCTGTCTCTAACTGGGAGCTTGGCTTGAGGTTTTGGGGTGGGGGGAGAGTAATGGTTTCAGGGGAGAGCGGGCAGCGTAACCTCCCCTGCTAGCGGCTGAGGAAGCCACCGCCTCTGCATGGTGCCTCTCTGCTCATTAACACTGTCCACAGCATGACCCTGAGGGGCGTGGCTGGGTCGGGTGCCCTCCCCACTGCCTCTGCCAGGCAAGCCACCTCGCCTTTGCCTGGTTCTGGGGCCAGTGGTGGAGCAGCCTTGAGCAGAGCATTCCTGTGAGGGAGGAATAAGTATGGGGTTTTACCATAGTCCCTGTGGCCAGTCGAGGCCTTGGCCTCCTCAGAATTGGTCTGTCCAACCCCTGTATCCTGGAGCTGTGGTTCCCTGAGTGGGCATGAGGCCCCCCCACTGTGGCTAGCTGGGACTGTGGTCTCTCCCCATAGGTACCCTCCCACAGGACCACCCCAGAGCAGCTCCCTGTGTGGCACTGCGGGCTCGACCAAGTGCCTGCTGGTGCCATGTGACCCGTGTATCAACACGTGTGAAGTGCCCGGCTGAGGGGCAGCAGGGCCTGCTCAGATCTGGGGCCAACCCAGCTCCTGCCCCTGACATCCGGCTGGGCTCACTTAGGCACAGACCCATCTCCTCTGTCCCCAGGAGCCTTCTGAACAGCTTGTGGGGTCTCCAGGGTGGGGAGGGGAAAGCCATTTGCCTCTGCTCTGTGGGCGCTAACTGCATGCTGGCACCAAGGCCTGGTCTCCCCACGGCCGAGGGCAGTGTTGTATGAGCTGGGCAGGGCAGGGGATCTGTTCTCTGGGGCTCAAGCCTGGGAGTCAGCAGGTGGTACCTCCTTCCTGGCAGATCAATGAGCTGAGCCAGGTGCCGCTGCCCATCATGCTGCTGCCCGATGACTTCAAGGCAAACTCTAAGATCAAGGTGAACAACCACCTCTTCAACCGGTGAGTCCCACCCTCCTCTGCCACCCCTGGGCAGGGTTGAGCTCTGAGTGCCCCCAAGGCCAGAATCTGTGGGTTGTCCATCCATCTGCCCCCCCACTCCCAGCGATCCAGGCTGGGGGTGCATGGGATGGATAGGGGCAACCGCAGGCCATGTCGGAGCCAGCCCAACCCTGCTTCCCCTGGCACTGGTCCCACAAGCCGTGGCATCCAGGCCGATAGCTGAATGCTGACCCTACCCCCCCACCCCAGGGAGAACCTGCCCAGCCACTTCAAGTTCAAGGAGTACTGCCCCCAGGTCTTCCGCAACCTGCGTGAGCGCTTTGGCATCGACGACCAGGACTTCCAGGTGGGGGCGTCATGCTGGGGCTGTGTGCGCGCTTGCATGCACATATGCCCCCTCCTGCATAACCACATGTGTGTGTGCTCACACGCATACATGGACCCCCCCCAGTGAGTATCCCCTAGGAACCACCCAGCCTCTCCCTCTGCACACAAATGCGCACACACACGCACCCCCCTGCACATGTGTGTGCACACATGCGCCACCCCACCATGCTTGGGCATGGCCTGTGTGGTGTGATGGAGAGGAAGGGGTTTCTCCCAGCGCGGGGTAGGGGTCCCCTGGGTTTCACTGCAGCCTCCCAACCAGGTAGCAGCAGTGTCCCCTCTCTGGGCTCATTGGTGCCATGCCAATGTCTCTGCCCACTCGAGGGGCAGGCAGGGCTTTTTCCAGGCAGAGTTGACTTTAGCAAGGCTCATGTGCTCCCCGCCCCCAGGTGTCACTGACCCGCAGCCCCCCCCAGTACGAGGGTGAGGGCAGCGACCGGCGCTTCCTGCTCTCCTGGGACCGGACGCTGGTGGTTAAAGAGATCTCGAGTGAGGATGTGGCTGATGTGCACAGCCTGCTCTCGCACTACCACCAGGTACAGCCAGGGTGGGGCTTGGGAACCAGGAGGGGGGGCAGGTCAGGGAGATGGGCCAGCTGGCTGTGGCCAGGCCAGGGGTCCAGAGGTATGTGGTTGGGGCCTGGAGCAGGGCAGCGAGGTGCCTGGCTCTGATGTGCTCCCCCCTCCCCCTGCAGTACGTAGTGCAGTGCCACGGGAACACGCTGCTGCCACAGTTCCTGGGCATGTTCCGCACGGGCGTGGACAGCGAGGAGCGCTATGTGCTGGCCATGCGCAACATGTTCAGCCACCGCCTGCCCGTGCACCGGAAGTATGACCTCAAGGTAACACCCAGGGTGGACGGGCTGGCTCTGGGAACAGTCCCCACCATGACCCCCTTCCCTGCAGCTGCCAGCCGCAGCCCTTATTGCACTCCCCCCCAATACCTTGCCTTGGAGCTAACACTGTGTCTGTTTCCCCCCTCACCTTTGCAGGGCTCCCTGGTGTCCCGAGAAGCCAGTGACAAAGAGAAGGTAATAGTGGGGGGGGATCCTTTTTCTCTCCCTCCACACTGCAGACTAAGCTGAGTGCTTCTGGGCTCTGAGCCCTGCTGCCCCCTGCCCACCTGGCCCCACCACCCCACAGCGAGGTTGCTGCCTTCCTAGGCTGTGGTCTGACCCATTCCCAGGTCTCCTGGCAGAGAGGGCGCAGCTTGCGGTGCCTGGCTCTGATGCAGGGGCAGTGATGTGCCCCTCCACCCCCATTGCACAGCTCTGTGAGAGGCTGTGGGCTCCTCCTGTGCTCTCATGTGTAGCTCCCCTCCCAATCCAGGGAAAGGACCTGCCCACGCTGAAGGACATGGACTTCCTGAACAAAAACGAGAGGGTCTACGTGGGCGAGGAGGCCAAGCGGGAGTTCCTGGAGAAGCTCAAGAGGGATGTGGAGGTTGGTGGCATTGAGGGCAGGGGCCCTTGGGCTTGTCTCAGCCTGAGATGAGGGGTTTGTGCAGACACGGGCAGGGGCTGTGGGGCTGGGGGCTCCTGGCAAATGGCCACATGGGCAAAAACCCCCCATGGGGCTTGCAGAGGCCTGTGGTGAGGGCAGACAGGAAGGAAGACCTTCGGCGCCTGCCACTGGGCCTCATGAAAGTGGAGCAGTGCTGGCTCGTGGTCTGGCCCCCTTCCCCCTGTTCATCATCCCCACCCCCCCGCAGTTCTTGGTGCAGCTGAAGATCATGGACTACAGCCTGCTACTGGGCATCCACGAGGTGCCACGGGCCGAGGAGGAGGATGAGCCTGAGGATGACGACGGGGGAGACGATGGCACCGCCGGCCTTTACGGCGCCTCCCCTGAGGGCCTCGGCATTGCCGGCGACTTTGGCGCCCACCGTGCCCTGGGCCCCGGCGACTTCGACTCGCGTGTGGATGTGTATGCTGTCCGCAGTCAGGGTGAGCAGGTGCTGGGGTGCTAGGGGGGTGGGGGGCTCAGGTGGCACGGGGTAAGAGGGGTCTGCACCTGTCTCACACCCCCGTCTCACTCAGGCGGGCCCTGCTGCGAGGTGTACTTCATGGGCCTCATCGACATCCTCACCCAGTACGACGCCAAGAAGAAAGCGGCACACGCAGCCAAGACTGTCAAGCATGGGGTGAGCAGGGGGGGAGGTTCGGATCCCCCTGCAGGGGCTGCGGCTTCCCAGGCATCCCTGGGTTGCCAGCAGCTGCCCAGGATCGAGGCCAGGGCGGGCAGTGCATGGGCCTGGGGGTTTGCAGGTAGCTGCTAGCATTTGGCCTTGGAGTGAGGGGCGGAGGGGCTGGGGCGCGAGTGCAGACCGTGGCTGGGGCGTGGGGTAAGAGCTGGCTGGGGTGGGGGCTGGGCCTGTCTTGGGGTGCTGACGCTGCCCCCCGCACAGGCCGGCGCTGAGATTTCGACAGTGCACCCGGAGCAGTACGCCAAGCGCTTCCTGGACTTCATCACCAACATCTTTGCTTAGCCCCATGGCCAGTTGGTCGCCCCCCTGCTCCTCTAGACCCCCCCTCCCCCACACTCCCTGGTGTTTGCTGGGCAGACGCGGGGATCCGGCCCCCCCTGCCCTGGCTGCAGAGGACCCCAGTGTCCTGGTGTGGATCAAGTGCCTTATCTTTAATCCTGCCCCCCGCCCCCCCATTGACTCACTGACCCGGTGCCCCCTGGATGTGGGGTGACAGCCTAGGCAAAGGCCCCCACCTGCCCACTTCAATGGGCTGTGGGGCATTTGGTAGAGGGGGTTCCCCCAGCACCTGTGGGCAGGGGGTCCTGGGGCCCTGCCACCCTGAACTGGGGAGGGTCTGACAAACACTAATACCTCCCCCCACCCCCTGGGGCTGCCCCCCAAGTCCTCATGTCCATGAAGCTGTCCCAGTGCCCCCCCAGGCTGTGTTGGGAGCAGGGGCTATGCCCTGGGGGGGGCATGCTCGGGGGGGGGCCACATTCCTGTTCACTCTATTGATAGAAATAAATTATTGACTATGAGGCTGTGTGTGCTGTTGTGGGGGAGGGGGGCAGTGCTGGGGGGTAATAGCTGCTGTCAGTTGGTAGTTGACTGCCCCTGGGTCTTTTGGGGG